AGATGTGATGCTCCGCATAAACTAAGACTTATTATGCGGCTTAGAGAACGTGAAGTTGATATTCTAAACCATCTCTCTTTAGATTACTGTGCACACAATCCAGGCGTATGTGACTCCCAGGGAACATGCATAAACGATGGGACTTATTACAGATGTGATATCTCCGGGGGCACCGGTGAGTAGTATACAGTTGATAAGTTACATGATAAAATTAATATTTACATGATACAATATGATCAAATTAATATATTAATAATAATGATGATGATGTATGACGATGATGTTATGATGATGGTGAAATTTGTTGATGATGATGTTATGATGTGATGGTGATGTTTTGATAATAATGATGATGTTATGATGCTATTATAATATTATGATGTTGTTTTTATGACGAAGTGGTGATGGTGGTGTTATGTTATGATGTGACGGTGATGTTATGAAGTAATGATTATGATGTGATGATGATGCTATGGTAATGATGACGTTATTATAATGCTATGATAATGGTGATGTTATGATGATAAAGATGATGATGATAATAAATATAAATCAGCGAATATTATGATTTTAATCCCTGTGGTAATTTAATTTCTTCAAGCGTTGACTGTGCTGCCATGTTCTTCGTCGCCATGTAAATCTGGCGGTGTCTGTTCCAACGTTGGATTGACATTCAATTGCAGGTGTCAAGATGGTTACTCGGGTACGACGTGCGAGTATTCGGTACGAAGTGGTGAGTGTTTTTTGTCTGTTAGCACCAGACCAGATTCTAAAAAATAACAAATATTAAATATTGTAGTCCTATTAATTGATTACAATAATTGTGTATAATGTCCAACAATCATGTTCCGTCATTAATTATATTTAGATAACATAGAAACCAAATTCTAAACTTTTGGACTTCATAATGGGTCATCGTTAAATTCTTTAATTGTGTTCAATGAACTGATTGTGAATATTTTCTACTCAGGACCAATGGATTGCATTACGCACCCTTGTGAAAACGGTGCAATATGCGTGTCCAATGATGATCATTACGAATGCGTGTGCCCGGGAAATATTCCCTGTCATTTAAGTGAGTATACCAAAGATAGGTAGATAAACTAAGTGTATTATACGATGGAGGAATAAACTAATTCCTCCATGATTATACGTACCAGTTCCAGGTCATGACTGAGAAGCGCCTAGTGATAAGAAATTGAAAGAGGACCGGGTGCATTTTAAAAGCGTACATAGTGGTAAAGGTAAAGGTAGGAGAATAACCCATAAATTGCAGGTCATTGTGCTGAATTGCGTATGGGCGTGGTCCATGACTACCTAGCAGCCGTAAAGAGACGCTTCTTGGTAGCTACATGTTCACATCATTTCACAACGACAGGGGCTGAAATGAACCACTATATCGGGGTAACCGATAAGATGCAATGGGTTCTTTAAAGTGCACACGAGCTGGACCTCCATTTAAGTCCTTATCAGAGAAGACTTGGTTCTACCAACCGAACCATGGGTGAGGAGTGGCTGGAAACAGCGCCGATGTTAAGGTTGTAACTAGCGGCGCCCCTGCATTACCGCTCAGCAATGCAATGGCGATTGTGTATGTTTAACCGGACCAATAAAAATAGCTTCCGACGCGCCTGAAAAGGCTGGGAAGAAAAGAGGACCTGTAGAAAATCTCAGACCAATCATCCTCTTAAACATGCTACGCAAAATCATTGCCATCTGTGTTGTATTCAATATGCTTATATTTTAATGTCCACTTTGGCGTTCCATACATCCGGGTGACTCGGTCTCTTGGCGAGCCACTCTTCTTTATTAAAGTTTTGTGTTCAGTAATGCTTGGCATTGCATCATTATTTAACTGTGTCAACAAACCGGACAACATCAATACAACAATCTGCATGATTGGAAAAATAAGCGACAAACGTAATAGACATAGTCCTTCAACCTATGTGTGCATATAGACAATTAGGTCGCAGCACCACAGAACTTGTACAGTATTTAGCGTTATACCCTTAGCAGAGAAGGCCATAACTTCCACAAACTACGAAACAATAGTATGAAAATTCTGAGTGATGATGAACTGCACATGGTATCACTACTTTTAAAGGACGTCGAACTACGTGCACGAGATTTTCGGTACTAATATTGGTATCTACTCTACTAATTGCTATTTAATCTATACTTGGTTGAGCACTGGAATCCACAGAAACAAACCCTCAAAGACCACAGAAACAGTTTTTCCTCATGAACCAGCAATATGCAGATGGTATTGGGTGGGTGACAAATTCCAAAATGCAAGCAGAAGAAATTAAGAAGACCATACCTGGGAAAGTGGAGTAGAAACGTAATCATAAATAGCAGTTAAACAAAAGAATATAGTATCAAAAGGGAAGGAGATAAATCCAGGAAGAAAAAAAAACAAAGTTGCGTTAACAGAATATGTTAGAAAAGTTAAAAGACCGGTGGGCAGGGCAAATACATGTGTTTCAGCAATGAACAAGGAACTTAAACATATAACATCCATTGAAAAGTTAACAGACCACGAAATCACCGGAGAGTCATGGAAACGATTAACGCACGTAATGTCTACCCAAGACGAAACAGCGTAGCAGATGTTGAACCAAACAATTCATACAGTAGACATATTTAATAAAAAAGCGATAGACACACACAAAAAAAAAACACATAAAATTTGCTCATTGAGCTCTCTGAGAGTGTCTTTAAAATACTCATAAGGGCCTAGCGTCGTATATACACCTATACATCGTCGCTGTTTCCGATATTCTAGCATATATTTGGATATCCATACACCATTTTATGAATTATCAAAATATTGTTTTACTTATTGACTCCATTTGTACTTGTAGATTTACAGCCATGTGCAAAGAAGCCATGTATGAA